CATCCATCTCCAGATAGACGTGGTCACTCTCTTCATGCATCTAATCAACTGAGTCCAATCTTGACATGATGACTTGATGATATGAATGGAGTCAGATGTGCTATTGTTTGGTTGGAAAGAAAACCTGGAACCTTTCTGGAACCAGTTTGACACCCCTGTTCTAGAAAATTGAGTTATTATCCCCCCACTGCAGAGCTGCCTTTGACTGTTAAACTGTTAACTGAGGTATCATTAGTTACGTCCTCCAAGGTGGTTATATTTTCATCAGTGTTGGCTTGTCTGTTTTCAAAATAACTTAAAAACCTATTGACAGATTTTGATGAAATTTTCAGAGAAGGTGCCGATTGTGACTGGCAGCGAATGATTTCATTTCAGTGATGATCCAGATCACCATCTGGAGCCAGGAATGTTTCGCTTGGTGGTAGTTAGCTACTTGGCGGAGGTCCGCACTCTACAAGCTAATTTCTAAGTTTAAGTTTATGGTCAAACTGTTTTATTTGCTTTACTACCTGCCTTTATCATGTTTTTATTGTTACTTGCATTTATTCTGTTTTTATTCTTCTATTTTACCGTTTTAATTAATGTGAAGCATTGTCAAGAATTGTCTTTGTACTGAATTGTGCTACACAGATAAACTTTCCTTGCCTTGCCTTAAGGAAACGAAAATGGTTAAACTTTGAAGGTTTCTGAAGCCTTTCTAATTCAGTGCAGTTATAAAAATAATATTCGGCCCAGAGACAGGCTTGAGGGCTTAAATAAGCTGAATCTATTCTTATGATTCATTCAGGGAAATATTTGTTTACCTGATGATGGGTTTCTGCAGCTCAGGCTGGGTGTAGTGCACCATATGCTGCAGGATCCCCCACAGTGAAATGGGGATTGTGAGGAACACAAACACACCGGCAATGAACCAGGCTTTACTGTGAGTCCCGACCTGCACAGACAGAAAAGCAGAACCTCTATGAATCATTCAGTATGGATCAGATACAAGCAGATCAGGATGGGGGGGTGAGGATATGAGCACCTTGTCCTTCTGGAGCTCCCAGATGCACAGCGGCACTACAGCCACCAGCAGAAGGGCATAAAGAACCAGAACCAGGGGACGGATCCATCTCCTCCACTCTGCACAGGTACATGGCATGGTGGCTGCTTCACCCTGAGTGCAGACTTACAGGCTCATCCTAAATCTTAGAGACAGACGGGACAAAAAGCATACAACACTGCTTTGACTGTGCAATTCAGTTCCTTAAGATATGATTATTATTGTTTTCAGTCATTATCATTATCATTAATTCAATTTTTTGTGATAATAATTGACATGAATATTACTGAACAAAATCATTTAAAAAGATCAAAAGGTCAAATGTCCAAACAACTACAAAACATAGTTATATATCTTTTATATTCCTTCACCTTTACTCACCTGCACCTGTTTACAATAAAAAAAAAAAAACTGTAACTTCAATGTGGTAAACAAGGAGTTGATATCTATATGGCATATCTTTATAAAGCCTGTAAGTCTGTCTAATTGGAAAGGGAATAACAGAAAAATAGAAGACAGATCAACATTACTGTGAAATGAAAATGAGTTGTAAAGCTGTTCAGGTCAGCTTTTTTGTTATACTGTAGATTAAACCACCTCAGAACTGATGCACAGTGTTAAATATGTAGTGTCAAAGTACATTGACTCTTTTACAGTTATAACGACAAAAACATCTGGCGTAAGATATACACTACGTAGAAAGTGGGACCAAATGCACTCGGCTTAGTGATAAATCCACCTCTTAAAGTGTCACTTTAACACTGCAACATTTACAGTGTGAATGAGTAAGAAGTAAGTTTGTGAACTTCAGGATTTAATAAATTGGCAAAATTTTATCTTTTCTTCTGATTATTTAACCAAAAATGTATTTTATTTTGCATATATTATGTCTACAGTCCTTACAGAATGGTGGGTGAGTTTTGCAGCTTTTTAAATCTAACAATTTAAGTCCATTGCAAATGGAAAAATGGAAGCTTGAAAATATTAGAAAATTATGGAAGAGGATTAGGGCCACTAAAACAATAAAAAACGTTACCCGATTTTTAAATATTATTTCAGTTTAATAAGGGAATAATTCTGACTTTTTCTAAGAATTATGTCTTTTTTTTCTCAGAATTCTGACTGAACACTGACAGCTAACAAACATGTTAGCATCAAGCTGTAGCCACGTCTGTTTTAGAGACTTGCTCCCTTTATTTGATGATCTTCTGCTCCTCAATTAATGAAGTAGCATCACCAGGGACCCCTCAGGCATGTAAAAAGTTGGCTAATTTCATCATTTTCCACTAATGTGTCACTGGTCCTCCCAAACAACTCACATCTTTGTCAGTGAAGCTGAGTGCTCCAACATCTCTTCCTTCATTGTGTCCATCTGCATTTAGATCCAAACTTCTGAGATTAAAGTCAGAATTCTGAGGGGAAAAAAAATACATTTCTGAGATTAAAGTCAGAATTCTGAGAAAAAAAAATACAATTCTGAGATTAAAGTCAGAATTCTGAGAAAAGAGTTAGAATTTTTAGATTAAAGTAAGAATTCTGAGAAAAAAGTCAGAATTCTGAGATTAAAGTCAGAATTCTGAGAAAAGAGTTAGAATTTTTAGATTAAAGTAAG